TAGCACGGGCTATGCTGAGAAGTTGACGTTGACCTTGCGAGTAATTTGCGCCCCCTTCCTCAACTTCGGCATCGAGTTGAAGCCTTGGCTGTGTCGCAGTCGTGCTGCTGCGACTTCTGTTCATCTCGACTTGATGGAGAGCTTCCCACAGTTCCATATCACTACACTGGCTAAAGGGGTCCAGGTTCGATCGGACTGTTCCCTGGAACAGGGTGGGATCTTGAGGGATGATTGATATACGTGATCGAAGGGTAGGCAGTGGGACCTTGCTGATATCCAGGCCGTTGATGATAATTTTCCCCCTTGAGAGCTCAACCAATCTGAATAGAGCTGCGGTCAGAGATGATTTGCCAGCACCAGTACGCCCAACAATTCCGATCTTCTCGCCGTCTTGAATATCAATGCTCAGGTCCTTCAGCACCATCGGAAGCTCCGGCCTGTAGCTCAAGGAGGCATTGGTCATCCTGATGTCGCCTCTGGCGGGCCAAGTTCCAGGGACTTCCGAAGCCAACACTGACGTCGGGTGGGATGGCTCCTCAGGCAATTGATGACTATAGTGGTGCAATCGCTCTACAGAGTTCATAGAGTCTTCAAACTCTCCGAGCTGCTGGACGATCAACTGAATCTGGATCCTCAGGGCGAGAACGCTGGCCAAGACAACGCCTGTTAAGCTAGGGTTTGTCTGGCCTCCACCGAAGATTACCAGTAGACCCGTGGTGAGAACCGTTGATATAGCAATGAGGTCTAACCAGACTGCGAGCCATCGCTGAGCACCGATTGTGAGAAAAGTAGTCGCGTTCATATTGTCGATGGCATCGCGAACTCTCTGTGCGAAACGGGATTGCATGTTGTAGGCCTTTATGGTTTGCATTCCCGAAACTGATTCGGAAAACTGAGAGAACATGACGGCCCGGAGTAAAGCCTCGTGGCGCTTTAGCTGCTTCTCAGTTGACTTGTAGTAAGCCGTCACGTAAAGGAGTACCACGGTCAGTGGGCCCAAAGCGACGGCGAACCAAGGGAAGCAGCCGACTATGAGGATGCAGATGCTGGCGACCATGGCGATCGAAAACAACATCTTGCACAAAGAGTCTGGAAGTTGTTGATCCACCACCTCAGAATCTTGAGTAAAGAGGTTCACGATTCGACCCAGGGGTTGTAAGTCGTGAAAAGACATCGGCGCCCCGATCACCTTGGCAATAGCTTGATCCAGGATCTTTCGGGTCGCCCGGGTGCCGAGGATCGATAGACTCATAGCGAAACAGAGAGTCAGAGCCGCCTGCATCGCAGCGAGGGTGACATACATGGCGACATACTGACCATTCGACAACCAATCGAATTTGTTTGATGTCCAGTATGATAGCCAGAGATTTGTTAGAGTACTAGCACTTTGAGCCAGTATGAGGAATGCAACCGGTATGGCACCGTTGAGAAGGCAACCAGAAGACCGGACGTATGCCTTAAAGATATCGAGAGATTCTTTGGTGGCACCAGATTCCTCTCCGGCAAGTACTCTGTTATCGTTGTTCTTTTGTTTTTGTTTCTCGTTCCCTTCGTGGCCTGTCGATGAGACCGTGCCAGAAGTCTGTTCGTTCTTCTGAGTTTCCCCCTTTCCGTTTTGCCTGGATGATACCACCATGGCTCGGAAGTCAGGCTCAGCTGCAATCAGATTCAGGTACGTATCCAGAGCTCGAATGTGGCCGTTCTCCATCCATAAGATCCTGTCGCACCAGCGAAGGACGCCATGCTGGTGAGTGACAAGGATCCTGGTCTTCTCTTTCAGCACCTCACAGATAGCCTGCCGAAACAGGTGCCTCCCAACATGAGCATCCACGGCCGACAAAGGATCATCTAATAGGATCAGGTCGCTGCCTGCGTACATGGCTCGGGCTAAGCTGACTCTTTGGCGCTGACCACCGCTGAGAGTGATACCGTGCTCGCCTATTTCCGTGTCGTCGCCGGCAGGTAGAGATTTGATATCGGCTGCCAGAGCACAAGATTCAATAACCTGATCATAGATGCTGCGGACCATAGCCTTGCCGAATAATATGTTGTCTTTGAGGGATGCACTTTGGATCCACGCATTCTGCGGGCAAACTGCTCTGGATGCGACCCCTATTGAGACCTCGCCTTCAATCTTTGGCATCTGTCCCTCAAGCGCGCGTAGCAGTGAGGTCTTGCCGGACCCCGACGCCCCGACTACGGCGACCAGTTCTCCGCGACGAATGGAGAGGTTGATGTTGGCCAATGAAAACTGCACTTTTCCGCTTTGATTGATGTCTTGGATGTTGGAGCATGCTTCCCACGTAAAGTGACCTTGTTTTACGCTGACAGCCGACTCTGAGTTTCGATCCCAGATGGTTTCATCTGAAGGTTCTCGAGCGAGTAGGAATTCTTGAAGGCGTTTCAAGGCTGCCCAGCCATCGGCTACTTGCCTCACGGACACTGACAAGGAGGCGAAAGGGACTCGGAGAGTGTTGAAGATGACGACAGATGAGAAGACCGTCGACACCGTGAGTTGATGTCCAGTTGCCGAATAGATCGCGAGCGACAGCACGGCTGCGAAGACGGGGAGACATGTGGAAACGGTGTGCATGACATCCCTCGTCGTCAGAAGTCTGATCACGACTTGCAGCTCCTTCTCTCGACGCCTCTTCAGCTCCCTCAGGAAGTGAGGATCCCACGCGTTGTACTTCACGAAGCCAACGTGTCGCAAGACTTCTTGAGTCAAGGAGACGCGGGCATTGGTGGAACGTCTGAGCATCGGTTGCCGCTTGCCGATTGATTTGACCGCCAGTCTCAATCCCAGAATCCCAAGCAATAGCAAGCAGATCCCAGGTATGGCGGAGTATGTGAGATTGTAGAGGACTATGACGCTGGCAAGAACAATCGTGATAGGAGCGGTCCAGACGAGATGAAATGCTTTGGCGGCTTGGTTGACCTGGCCGACGTCGGAAGACATCAGATTGATGGCAGTCTTGACGTCTTCAATTTCTTGATTGACCTTTTCGCTCCCCTTTGATTTGATGTTCTTGGATAGTTGCCGACTAGTCGCTGGGTCTCCCCCCGTGGGCTGGTCAGACCCCTGGGTTTTGCATGGCTGACCCAAAAGCTTTGTAGATTTTTCGAACATCGCGGCCATCAGGACTCCTCTTGCTTGCGCGCCAAGCATAAAGCCCTTGTATGAGGATTGGTTGATGCCTATGCCCTGTATGATTTGCAACAGCAGGAGGCCAACGACCCACCCCAGACCATTCCATAGAGGCGGTCCTTCCAGCAGTACGCCTTGAGAACGAGCATTGGCAGCTTCGTAACTATCGGTGATGAATGACAATAGGAAGCGCAAGGTGAGTGGAATACCCGCTTGGCAGATTGACGCTGCGAGCTGCCAGATACCGCCCATCCAAAACTCGTGAGAGAAGGTATCAAAGATGGCGAGTGCCAGAGCGTGTTTTTCGTGCCGTTTACGCCTACGGAATGCTTCGCCAAACTTGGTACTGAGAGCATGAACGCGTCTCTCGGGGTCCACCAGCCAGATGTCATTGATACCCAGGGGTCTATGGCGTCCAGCGTACAGAAGGGGATTGATCCAGCTGAACGTCAACTTGCCGAACCAACCAGCCGAGGCTTCAGGACATATTGTTCGCTCAGGGGAAACTGGTGCTGCTGGTCTTTGTGTAAACCCCTTCAACCGACGGTACCACGATGTCCTCCCTTGGGCCCCTATTCAGGAGGTTAGTCTTATAGGAAGGCGATCGTAGTGTATCTCTTTGCCTACCAGAGTGGCTGGATACATCCGCTGGTGGCCCCGGGTTGACAGATGAAGAGTTTTGATGAGTATGTCGACCAGGCTTTTCAGAGGTGAAAGTGTCTGCCCATAGGTCTGACAACTCTATGTGATAAACGCGGCCCGGAGGCGCTGGAAGGCTCGACATGGTTGAATGGCTTTGATTCAGAGGCTCATAAGCGATATCTAGAACAGTTGACTCTAGAGGATGTAGAGGAAGAGTTTCGGATACAATCTAGGAGCGAGGAGAAGTCTCCTATCTTATAGACACCATCCTCGATGAGTCAAACTCATTATGAGGAGGGTATAACAATCGAGCCCGTGCATCACTGTATATACGACAAACACAGTTCTATATTTCGAGATAGCGGCTGTCAAACACCTCGATATTTCCCTGTTTAGGGCGTATGGGGTGGAGTTTGAGTGCAGACTGAGGCATGTATACCCCTAACTAGCACGGTATAAACCAATTGACAAAGCAGATAGCAAATAGGGGTCAATTGGTACTGTGAGTTATAGATTGAGTTGTGAGTCAACTCTAATCGACTATATCGCGGATAGTCGAGACGAGTGTATAGTCCGCGAAGCAGCTGCCCGACATCTCGATCGAGGCAAACGATGTCGGTGACTAAGTGAAATACTGTTATAGGATGACTCAAGCCAAGGGAGCGTCGTGGTTGACTCGAAGCGAGCTGCGGACTATAACTTGGAGGTACAGACTACGATGTACGGTATATCTCTATCTAGTTTCAAACAGTGTGAGAAACATGTTATTCTGCTATTCAGTCGCTAACTTTTGCCATCCTTTATAAGTGAGTAAAGAATGTATATCAAATATCATTGATTCACACTGTGAGCTCCAATAGCACTGTGAGAAGTGAGGAATCACAAGAAATATATGCATGTCTATTCTGATAAAATCTACCTTCACTATAACTCATATATTGACAAAATATGTGATTTTCTTTATACAGGGTCTCGACATATACAGTGAATCATGTATATAGATGTATATGAACAACGATAATAGCATCAACATTTAAAGCTCTAGAATGGCCGTTATCAGCATCACAATCTGTAGACTGTGCGTCAAGGGGTTTCGCACCAAATACCGAATATCGCGACATGACAAGACTCGAAGGCGGTAAGAGGTAGATACATAACATTAGAATAAAAACCCCAGCAAAAAGATGAAAAGGACAGAAAGATGAAAGGATGGACGAACGGGGGTTCGAACCCCGGACTTCTCGTAGACTTCAAGCGCGAAGCATGCGAAACGAGCACTCTTCCTCTGAGCTACACGCCCTTGGGATGGGAGAGGGGGGACCTGCTTCCCTGATTTGTGATGACTGGCTTGTCAAACGTGTACTTCAATGTTTGTCCAGGTCGAAGTTTCCATGATGGGAAACGGTAGGGCCGCTGCATCTGGAAGGGGACTAGGGAACGACTACCTCCCTATGTTCTAACGTCCAAGGGGGAGCAGGCACGCTATATAGGTTTGTACATAGGTAGGTACGAGCCCAATGGTGACTCTTCGAGGTCGTTGATGGTTCTTGTTTCGAACGGGGCTATATTGACTTGGAGGCAGAATCTTTTGGATGTTAGGTGTAAGTGAAATGTTGGAATCGGAATGTGATGATCAGGTAGGTATACTGGAAGAAAGGACGTCGCCGCTCGTGCGATGTAGCTGCATATTATAGGCCTTTGACCACCCATCAACCAGGTGTGATAGGGGTTGAAGGGCTTTACGTCAGACAGGTAATGCATACTACCTACTGCTTGAATTTTTGCCTTCAGAAGATCCTTTGTTTCTCTAACACGGCTAGCTAACTAACGTATCGTACAGGAACTGTGTCCGTTACAAGCAGATGTGCCTTGCTCCCAGTCGAGCAGAAATGGACTATTTTGTGTGCGTCAAAATTTGACGAGGCTCCGAGGGGATAAAAATGCCACTTCACTTCGCCATTTACAACCCTCGGCAGTATCGCAGTATCGCAGTATCGGTCAGTCCTACCTACCTACATGTACATCAGTCCATACTACCATACATGTTCTGGACACTTTCTTGACACCTACCCAATGCAGAAGGCTACAGCCTCGAACAATCCGGACTTCGAAAGTTGATTCGTCAAGTCTCTTCACCGACTCATTTCTAGATATTATGACCTCTCTAGCTCAAAAGTCAATTGGGTAGCAATGAACCATGCATCAGCTGAAAAAAAAAACAACCCTTCTTCCTGTCATGTCACCCTCCATTAACCAAAGTCCGTGTTAATTTTTTTCTATATGAATCTAACACCATACTCGTCTACATACCTATGTTGAGCAATGCTTGCACGATACCTTACCTGTCTAATTGCTTGACGTTTCCTTTGCAGATATCGATGGAGCCGCAGAAGGAAAGCAGCAGTCCTCAGCCCAGCAGCAATGCTCAGCCCAGCAGCAGCTCTCAACCCAGCAGCAGCTTTCAACCCAGCAGCAATGCTCAACGAAGGAGCAGAAACCTACACATTGATATCGGCCAGCGAAATAACCTTGTTCACAAGAGACTGTTCATATTTTGTGACGGTACCTGGCAGGATGGCGTAAATGGAAAGGCCAAACTGACAAACGTTGCCACGCTCGCCCGGTGCATCGAGCCTGTGGCCGATGACGGCTATCTTCAAATAGTCTACTATGACAATGGCGTAGGTAATGGTACCGGTGGCATTGCTAAGCTTGTCGATGGAGCGACGGGTAGAGGTAATGTAACACTTTCGACCCTGCGACAAACCCATCCCAATTAACAGCTTCCAGGTATATCGGCCAAAATAAGGAATGCATACAGTTTTCTTTCTCACAATTACAACTTTGATAGTCGACAAGACGAGATATTCCTTATTGGGTTCTCTCGCGGGGCTTTCGCCGTTCAATGTCTTGCTTCCTTCTTGAATGAAACCGGATTACTCAAGGCACAGGGTTTGTCTTACCTTCGTGGTTTATTCTCCCTGTGGCAGAACCAGGCTTTCCGACGTATTGGGCTCAATGAAAAAAGTCTAGTACAAACAAAGATGGATGAATACGTCGAAACGCTGCGGGAGAAAAAAATCCTACAAGAGGTGTCAATCAAAGCTTGCGTTGTTTGGGACACGGTCGCCGCACTGGGACTTCCAACTCCATGGTCACGACCTCTTTCGTTCGTGGGTAGAGGGGTACCCAAAGCTGTGGAAAATGCATTCCAAGTTTTAGCTCTTGATGAGATTAGAGCCCAATTCAAGCCACGAGTGTGGGATTCTAAGGAGGGCAAGACACATGTCAAACAATGCTGGTTTCTGGGTTCACACGCAGACGTCTGCGGTGGCGGAGACGCCGCGCTCGGTGCGGTGACCTTGATTTGGGTTATTGCTCAGCTTCGAGACTATACTTCAGCGAGCTTCAAGATGGGGGAAGTGAGTAAACACCTCAGGCTTAGGTACATGGACTGGGATTTCAAGATCAACCGGGTTCTGGGGCAGTTTAAGGAAACGTTGACATTTTTTAGTATGTCCAAACGGGGTGAGTTTGTCCTTGACTCCTTGTTCTAGCTGTTCCTATTGGCTTGTAATATCACAACCGTTGGTTCTAATGATTAGCAGGTAGAGTAACAAAGCCATCATGGTACTGGTGGGTTTCAGGGTTCCAATCGAGGGGAGGATATCTACAGTTTGGCATCCATGAACAGCCCGAACTCCTCGAGCAGTCAAACATCCATAATCCTGACAAAGGAGTCTCTGTCCACTTCACGGTCCGTCTTGCCATGGCCAAGGAAAGGAATGTATGCAGACCCTTGAGGAAATGGAAGACAACTATCAGCAATGGCGATGTGGTAGTATGGGAGCGCGGCGATAGTAGGCTGTTCGAAGACAAGCTGAGCCAGGACGAGGGGCAGAAAGGATATATAGAATACCGAATACTACAGGAATGGGGGAAAATGAAGAAAAGAGCTGATTTGAGTGGGATAGAGCCTGGGGATAATGTAAGCGGGGAGCTTGTGACTCCCATGAGTCAAAAGACTCTGTTTGCTGCGGGGGTTTGGGGGATAGTCAGACCAAGGAAGAGTGAACTCAACCAGATCAAGGAATTGGCTGACGAGGAAAATGATGGGCCCAGTGAGGATAGGGACAAGCTCGCAGAGATTGAGAACGAAGTTACCAAGGATAGGGATCAGATCACCAAGGACGATGACGAGGTCGCTGAGCAAAGGCTTAGTTTTACCAACGATGGAGACAAACCCACCAAGGATGGAGATAAAATCACCGAGGGGGAAACTAAGCTGACCAAGAAGGAAGATATGGTCATTGGATATGAGTCTGAGGGTCTCACATCGTTTGCCTACTTATTAGATAAGAACATGAGTTTTGTGGGCAGCCGGCTTTCCCCGGGGGTAGAATACCCACCGAAAAAGAACAATAAGGTCCCTAAGCACCTAGGCAGGTAAACTTCAAGATCTTTGGATTGTTCCAGTCTTAGGTTGCTTGCCAATACTCGCTACGTATGAAGCACTGAGCCTATGATCAGTCATCTGATATTGGGACAAGATCTATGTGCTCACGGACCGTACGTATCATGATAGACGGATGATAGACGGCACAGGCATAAATACACGTTGCCTAGCGGTGCCAAACGTCGATTTCCCTCACAAACAGCAGGATGTATCATGTAAATAGCGGATGGCGTCTTCGAGGTTCGAGGCTCAGGCCAGCCGCTAGGTCATGGTGCTACGAGCAAGCTAGAAGAACTCGGCGCAAGATAATACTTCCAAGTCGAACACCGAGCACAGCCATCGGATAATTCTGATTCCGCTCTGGAACTTTTCATCTCTCTTCTGTTCTCACATCCTCAATCCTCAGTTCTTCTCAAATTAAGAATTGCGATTGCGGAACATGAGTGATGAAGTAATTTGGGACCTGGCACTAACGCGTTTGCCGGCGCGCTAGCAAAGGGAGACATTTAATGCGAGTGGATTCGACGACACCAGCCAGCTAGAACGATGCTACAGCAAAGAGGGGCCTTAGGGGTGGAGGGAGGCCCAAGCGACGCTGTAACACACCATCATCACCTAAACTGATAAGTAGGTAGGTCTACATTCCCCGGGTTCAATACTTGAGAAGAATAGCAGACCGGAGACCACCGTTCTCCCGAAGGCGAGGTCCGGAAAATGTATCCCGTGTGATTGAGAATCTGATTGGCGGCGGCGCAGCCGGTGTTGATTCGTGCGCCGGGGGGCTAAACGGAAAATGGATAGCATCAGAACTATTATGTACTAGATGTATGTAACAGCAAGGTCGTCCGGCAGTTCACTGTTCCATTCCCATGGGCTGCAGATATAGTGCAAGAAAAGCTTGAGAATCCCTGATCCCATTAATAGGGATAATATAAATTCACACCTAAGGCTACATTAGGTACGTGGGCTATGTAACCCACCCCTAATCGTTCACTTCAGCAGCTTTTTCGCCATATGACAATAGTGTATGACATGGTGTGTAACATGGCGATGATTTATAAGGTTCCAATAGTCCTTTCCCCTCCCACATCCCAATTCCAACTTGTCCTTCGAAGTCTGGAGATGACTTGACATTGTATACGCATGGGCTGGTGCAAATGAGAGATAGATAGCGAGAGAAGGTCAGACTTCGGGGTCCGAGTTACATAGCAATTTGCAGTCACTCGGTTTTTGTACACCAATTACTATCATACTATCTTAAAAATACGAGTAGTAGACAAAGTCATCCATCCATGACCCATACTCGGAACAATGCAGATGACAGCTGCCTCATAAATCAAACTGTCCCGGCGGGCATCCCAGCATCCCCGTCGGAGCACCTTGACGAAAAGACCCATCATCTCAAGCCAGATCCTAGTGCTGATCCCGACTCTGGTAAAGACCGTGATGACGAGAACCAGTCCGGACCTTCTCGCCCCGTCGAAGATCCCGACGTAGGCTTCACCTCATCTTCTGATGGCTACGACAGCGAGGAGGAGGACGACTTCCCCGAAGGCGGGCTGCAAGCCTGGCTGGTCGTCCTCGGCTCCTTCTGCGCCATGGTATCCCTATACGGCATCATCAACCTCGCCGGCGTCTTCGAGTGGTACTTCTCCACCAACCAGCTCGCCGAGTACGACTCCTCCACCATCGGCTGGATCTTCAGCACCTACCTCTTCATAGTCTTCTTCTTCGGCATCCAAGTCGGCCCCCTCTTCGACCGTTACGGCCCCAGAGCGCTGGTCGCCGTCGGCAGCCTGCTCGTCGTCGCGAGCCAGCTTCTCCTCGGATTCTGCGAGGGTAAG